CTGGCTGTTTCTTTTTCTTTATGTCTTTCCCTTTCTCTTTCCTTCTCTCTCTCTTTTTTCCCTCTGTCCTCCTCCGTCCTTTCCCTCTCCCACTCTTCCCCTCATTTCCTTTCTTCCTTCCTTTACCTCTTTCTTTCCTTCTCTTCCTTTCATTTTTATCTTCCTTCTCTTTTTCTCTTTCCTTCTCTACCCGTCTCTCCCTTTCTTTTCTCATCTTTCTCCTCTCCCCTTCCTTCCTTCCTTTCTCTTTTTGTGCGCTTTCCCCGTTTACTCTCCTCCTCCTTTCTTCCTTTCTTTTTCTTTCCCTTCGCGTGCTCTCTCTCTGTCTCCCTTTTTTTCCCCCTCCCCATTTTAGGGCAGGGGAGGATCTGAAAACATTCAACGACTTAAAAAAAAAATGACCACCACCCTGAAAACTTTGCGCACGACCTCTGCCCGCTGCTCTGCCCCGCAGGCCCAGGCCGGCGAGAGGGGCGCTGCCCGTGGGCGACCCCTGCGGGGGCCGAGGAAGCGGCCCGGTGGCCCCGAGCGCGCGGGCCGTGCCCCAACAGCCCGCAGCGGGAGGGGGCGGGGGCTCCCTGCACGGAAAGGCAAAGAAAAATCGTCCTGGAGAAAATGGGCTCGGAAAGGCCTGGGAGGGGGCAGAAGGGGGTACAACAGGCACAGGCCGCTCTTTCCCTTCGAGGAAGCGCCTGGCACAGGTGCCACTGCAGGCTAAAAAAAGAAAAGGAAAAAGTCAGTTTTATTTTAAACGGCCCCTTCTCCGCCATCTGTCCTGTCTTCCAAGTGGCGCTGCGGCTGGACCGCTGGTTTTAGGATTTTAAAAAGAAATCAGCAATTCTTTCCCTGTGATACTTCTGCGGGCAGCTCAAGGCGAAACTTGAGCGTAACAGGTTCGGGGCAAAACGACGGTTGTTTTGAAATTTTTAATTTTAGAAAAAAAAACCTTTTAAGTATTTCAACTCTATTTTTAAAAATAACACAGCAGAGAAAAAAAATAGCGCCCAGAAGCCACACATTTCATACATTTCAAATACAATAAGGAGCATTTGGGTAATCCCAGGGAGATGTTTTCTGCAAAGCTTGGGTTTAAAAGGTCACGAGTAATGTACAATTAAAAAAAGAAAGAAAAGGCGGAGGGGGGTGGGTGGGGAGAACACCGCATATAAAGAAATCTTCCAAAGAGGAAAGACCAAGGCTCACTCTACCTGGAGACCCCTATTCACACCTTTAGGGGTTCTTGTCTTCAAGTTGTTGTTACAAGGGTCAACCCGGCACCTGCTGTTTCTGACCTGTCGCCCCTCTTCAGAGCACCCCCCAGGCCACCAAAGGGAGCATTTAAACGACCTAAAGACCAATTCTGAGAATCCAAGCTCCCCCCTTCCCCAAAGCGAAGCTTGGCCTGTGCTTCAGGAAGCTGAGAGGAAGGGAGAGACAGCCCCTGGGGAGATGTTTGCCGCTCTTTGAGGCACCAGGCCTCAGAGTTGTTCTCTCTCTGTCCTCCGTCTCCAGCTTGATAACCCAGGCCCCTGGCTCCCGAACATCAAGCACCCAAACCAGTGCCCAGCGCTCTTTGCAGGTGCCTGGCGGGCGCAGCCTTACCTTGCACGGCCTTTTCTTGGTCGGCGCGGCTGGCCAGTGGGGCGGGCAAGCTCTGCGCGGCTCCCAGCAGCCGCATTTTGCATGGGCTCCTCCGGCCCAGGATGCTGTCGATGCAGTAGGAGGAGAGCAAAGTTGGAGATTTACTTTTGCACTCGGGCCTCTCGGAGCAGCCCTCCTCCTGGTACTGATTGCTCATGGCTGGGGCTTTTTCCCTGGCCGCAGAGAGCCGGGCCGCTGGCTGCCTCTCCTGGAGGGTGGGATGGATGGGTGTGTGTTGGGGAGTGGGGTTAGATGGCTGGTTATAATGGGTATTACTGCGATCTCTGCCTCTCTGCCTCCCTTGCTTGCCGGCTGCTGGCTCCCGCCCTGCCCGCGGCCCGAGCTCGCCCTCTCAGCGCTCAGGACAAGCAGTAACAAGTGTAGTGAGCTGCGGGCGCGGAGCTCTGGAGTCTCTCTCCTCCACGTGCTGAGAGGCGCCCTCTGATTGGCTCTCGCTAGAGGCCGGGCTGCGCCGTGCTGCGGGCTCAGAGCAAAGCCTGGACTGGAGTCCGGAAAGGCCGGCGGGGGTGGGGTGGGCAGCGGAGGATAAGGGGACAGCGGGCACTCACCCGAACCATTTTTTTTTTCTTTTTTTGTTAACTAGCAAGTTCCTAAGTTCTCCATCTTCTTCCTGTAGATTCCCCTTTAGCCCTTCGGGCTGGCCCGAAGCCCTAGCTCACTCTGATGTGAGGCCTGTGGGTGCCACTTGGGCGACGTGCGCCCCTTCCACCAACCAGAGGACCTCGCTTCCTGGAGGCGAGGCCTTGCGGCTCGCGTTCAGACGGCCTTGGTACTTTGCAAAGCCAGTGCTGCGCTCCCAGGACAGCGCCTTGATCTCAGTGGCGCCCTGTCGCGGTGCTCTTTAGGCCGGACGGGCCCCCGAGGTGTCAGGGTGATGGCCGCAAGCAAACAATTTCTGTTTGGGCGTTCACTTTTCTCTTGTGGCCCGACGCCTTGAGCTGTTTGTCTTCACCCTGAGCTGGGAGGTTGCTCTCGGGTTGGTAGCGGCCCCCAACCTCTCTCATCTCCTTCTTGAACTCTGGAAAAAGTCCCCTTAGAGACAAAGCTCTGCCAAAGGCGGGCGGCCTTCACTAGAGCACCTACAGGGGAGAACGGGACAGGCGAGGGTCAACTGCGGAGTCTGGGAGTCTCCCCCTCCTCCCCAGACTTGCTTCTCTCTTCTTCCCGCAAGTTCGCCTCCATTAGTTAGGCTGTCACCCCGAGGCTGGACGCTCTCAAATCTCGTGCGGGGAGCAGACCTGTGGGGGCCCTGAGTGCTCGCGGGTGGGAAGGACCCAGGTTCGGCTTCTACCAAGCGTAAACGCCTAAAATTCTTAGGGCCTGGCTCCCATTAGCAAGGGTAAGAGAATGAGAGACTGTGGTTGAACGCGTTTCTTACCAAACAACTTCCTGCGCGTCCAGCGCTGAGAATCGAGACCAACTGGGACTGAAGTTGGGCCAAGCCTGGGCGAAGGGCTAGCACGGACGCCCTCCTTGCTTGGGTTCAGAGCTCAAGGGCCGGCCAGGGGCCCCCGACCACGGCAGGGTGGGGGCGAAGGTGGTAGGTGGGAAAGGGGTTGAGGAGGGGTAATCCACGCCGGGTTTTCCTGTCTCAACCCCTTCAATGTGTCAAAGAGAAAAGCGTTTTACAAAGGATTATACTTGAATCACTTACAGTCAGTATTTAAAAATACAAGGATGCATAACTGGGATTTTTTTTTTTCAGCCATAAACACCTGCATAACTCTTGGATGCTGGTGGGTGGGTGGCCAAAAGATCAGGCTCGCTTGGCAGGAGTATTCATGGCACAACTTGAGGGGGATGAAGGGTTGGGAACAGGTACATTAATAATGTGAATACGAACGCTGATATTACTACTACTATTAGAGGCAAGAGGGAAAAGATGTCTCTCTGTGTCCCTCTCTTTGTCTTTCTGTTTTTTAGTTTGATTCCCACCAGTTTTTCCTACACTTGGATGATGGGGCTGGGAGACGGAGGAGTCCCTGAGCTATCTCTGACATTTGATTTTAAGCCCTGCCTGCTGATGCAAGGCACCTGGGATCTTCTCCTGCCTTTCCTGCAGTCTTCCTTTTTCCATCCTCACCAACAGTTCCAGTTTTTATACCGTCCCATTCAGCCTTCCCCTGACATTCTGCGCACTGATTCCCTCCCCAGCCCCGAGAGCCCAGTCCCGGCAAGCGGGTCTCCACGCAGCTGTAAAGACGCGTCGGTCTCCTCCAAGCCTCCAGCCGCGGACGCTCGCGGGTGTCCCTGCGGCTGGTCGCTGGGAGAAACGGAGGCACTTTTCCCTCCCCGCCGGGCCCTGCGTCGGAAATCCACAAGACCCGGCTGCTGGGTGGCTCCATGACTTCAGAGTCGGCTCCGCACACGCGGGGAGTGGGCTGAAAAATAGGTCCAAAAAAGATCGTGTTAAACAAAAGGAGACACAAACGCACAAATCATTCTGAGAGTCTAACAGGCTTTCCGCTCTCTCGGTGGAAGATTTCTTTGCTTCCGTCTCCCTCCTCCCCCTTCTGCAGCTGTTCTCCTTTTTTAAAAAAGAAGTCGGACTTTCTGCTGGGGTGTATTCTAATTTTAATCATCCACTGTAAAAGAGGAGGTTAACATAGAATTTCTGATTCTGACTTAATGACCCCTGGAATTAAATCTAATTCTATTAATGGAATATAATGTATTTCTTTGGGAAACCTGTTTGAAAACACTAGCTTTGTTATTTTGTTTTGTTTATATTTGGTATTTCTAATCCGTCTTCCCCAGTGAGGACGCTATTGGGAAGGCACGTCCATTCACTTTGGGGAGATAGGGCCCGACCCAGTTCATTTCACACCCAGCAACCCTGAGATGATCTTTGTCACAATTCAATACCAACTTCAAAATCTACAATTGACTCTTGCTATTCCCGAAAGATTAAATTAAAAAACAACAACAGAAAACTTTTCCAGCATACCCACTGGGGGACAGAAACTGCTGGTGTCCCTGTAGTGTCTAACCAGAATATGGGTTTAGCATGTATGTGCTATCCTATTTGTTAATTTTATTTTTTTAAGGTAAACTCTACACCCAACATGGGGCTCGAACTCACCACCCGGAGATCACGAGTCGCATGCTCTATGGACTCAGCCAGCTAGGCGCCCTTCCTATTTGTTATTTTAGAAAACAAAAATGATACTTCTAATGTCTAGGAAGAATTTAAGTGATTTGTTGAGTAGGTAGACTTGTAAGAATTGGGCTACGGGATATGTATAAAAACTTGCGGTTAGCCAATTTCATATTTACTGTCAGCAAAATGACACTTCACTTTCTTTTCATCTCACTTTCTTTTTCCCACGGATCAAAGTAATTTCATTTTAGTGGTAATATTATTCACGTTTGTACTTTGTTATGCACAACTCCTGGCTCCTCTAGTCTTTTGGGGTCTGTAAATGTTGTTTTTTTATTTTCCCTGGGCTGCCCAGAAAACAGTAGTTTGCAGTTCATCTGCCTTTACAATCAATCACTGAAATAAAAATGACATTTATGGCCAGAACTGAGGGTCAGAAGTGTTTAAAACTGTTGTTTATGGTGAAAGATGAGGCTTGTCCCCAGGACTAGAAATAATAATTACCTAGAAGAGGAGGATGGAAGAAACTCCTTTCTTTTCCGTGGTGAGAACTAATTCTACATTGCAGTTTCAAAATTATATTTGCAAGAAATGCAGGATAAGGGGGTGGCAGTAAATGTCATTATCCAGGAGGGAAAATGTTTGGAGGAGAGTTAACCTTGCAAATTTTCATTTGAGATGTTTTAATTTACTGTGCAATATACACACAGATAAATAAAGCAGTGATGGGCTTTCAGCCTCACCGGACACTCAAGTCCCCTTAAATTATGCTCAACCTCTTCAAAACATATATTTAAACAATAGAAATAAACTTCACTGGAGTCTGGCGACCAATTTGGAAGCCATTGGAAGGGAAGACAATAAGTCCTGATTACACTCAAGGATTCTCTGTGATGTGATATCCCCTTTGCCAAGTCATTTTGCTGTTTTATTTATTTATTTTCTTTTTTTTTTTTTAACAAACTTTCATTCATTTATGGTCTTCCGCAACCTGCTAATTTAACACTGGAGCGCGTTATTGCAGTGTTAGGAGGAGAGAAAGAGGGAGAGAAAACAACAATACTGCAATGATCCAAATGATACAGTAGAATTATAGCAATTATAGTTCTACTTGTGGAAGAAAACCTTGCTGAGATCAGGCAAACAAACTGAAGCCTTGTGAGGATAACAAGCGTCGGATTGACAGCCGGTGCTGGGAAGAGCCGGAGGGCACAAACAGAAATATTTGCCTCACCCCCACCCCCCTTAACTCCAACCAGTCAAGGTTAACCTCCTCAAATGCTGCCTTCAGAGTCTTATCCACTTCGGGGTATACATTTTATGCACAAATCCTGGTCTCTCCTTCTGGAAGTCTGATAATAGGAGGAAATGCAGCATAATCCGCTTGCCTAGCACTTGTCCCTCGCCTTCTCTGCCCCCTGCTTGCCCTCCACTCCCTACCCCTGCCCCAGTTCTCCCCTAGGCTGCGGGGATCTGTCTGCGGACGGTGTTTGTTTGTTGCCGTGTTTTCAGAGGATCAGCTCGTGGAAAGGTCCAAAGGGACTGACAACTTGGATTTCCAGGGAAGACTCCTTGGTGTTTCCTAGTCCCCCCTCTTCTCCGTGTAGTCCGCCTGAACCCTGGGTTCCACCAACAGGGCTCAGCTGGGAGAGGTGTGTTGGGAAGCAGAGCTTTCGGAAGCGTCCGGAGGACCGCGGCCGAGCCCTCAAGGTACGGACGTGTGGGTGTGATCACTGCGTTGGGACAGCTCCCCTTATTTGCAAACTTTGCCACTTTTGGTTACCCTTCAGCAGGCAGGGAAGGGGGTGGGGAGCGAGAACTAGAGAGAAAACAGACCCTACCCCCCACCGCAGTCATCCCCTCAGGCGGCCAACCGAGGCATTTTCTAGCCTTGCTCTACGCACAAAGCCAGGCGAGCTGGTCGCAGCTCGCGTCTGCCCTCGGAAGGCGGAGGAGGAGGGGGAGGAGCGGGAGGCCCCCCCTTCCCAGGGGCGAGAAGCAAGTGTTTGGGCTCTCACCCTGAGTCCCTCGGCGGAACCGCTCCCCCTCCCATCTCCTGCCGCACCGTTCCCCAGGATTCCAGACCAGAGAGGGAAACTTCTCGGCGCCCTGTAATCGCCACCATCTGGTTTCTCCTCTCCAACGCCGCCGGACGGCGGGACCCTGGGTGCGTCCAGGGTCGAGGCGTCCGCGGGGCAGCCAGCGTTGTTCTGTAGCTGCTGCTCCTGGCGCCCCCGGACTTGGGGAGTGTGTTGTAGGGGGCACAGGTTGGAGCTCACGTCAGGAGCAGCTAGGGACCCAACGCCGGCGTCAGTCCGGAGGCCCATGCCGACCCCGCTGTCGGCGTCCTCGCCGCAGAGCCCCCCTCTCGGCCTCGGCTCCGCGCCACGGCCAGAGCGCGCCCCCTAGCGGGGTCTCCGGGTGGGCCGGGCCCTTCCGCCGCAGCCTCTGGGCACTGAAGTTGGCAGATCCTAGTGATACTGCAGGAATGAATGGGGGAAGAAAACAAAAGCCTTGGAAACATTTCCAAGTGTGCAATAAAAGACCCATCTGTACCTTTCTTCTCCAGCGCGTTCGTGGTTAATGTCCCCCCATGCGCGCGAGAGGGGAGATAATTGCTGGGTGGATTCTTGCTGGAGAACCTCAGGAAACAGTGGCCCGAGAAGTGGAATAATTGGGGGTGGGGCGAAGGCAAGCGTGCAGAGGCTGTAACACCAGCCTGAGATCCGAATCCGCTGTCTCTGGGGTGTTCATGGAGGCCTGGCCGCCTTGCGCCCTCAGGTTCCTCAGTCCTTAGTGAGGGGTCATCTGAAGGTAGCTACTGTTATATTTCTTTTATTTGCAGTCGGTCTCTGTGACACCCCCACATCCTGGCTCTATGATCCCCTCCCACCTTCTGACTCTAGAACACCCCACCTTCAGATTCTAGGATTCTCCACTTTTTGCCTCAATGATTCCCCCACCTTCTGTCTTCATGATCCCTCCACCTTCTGACTCTGTCCCCCACCTCTGACTTGATGGCCCCCTACTTTCTCACTCTCCGGGAATCTGGCCACCGCCCTACTCCACCTCCCCCAGGCACCACCTCTGTCCCGCAGCATCTGCATCAGGAAATCGTCAAGCCCAGATTCCACCCCTCTCCACTACTCAAAAATCACCTACTCCCACTTGGTCTGGCCAGAAACAGACAAAAGAGAAAGGCAGGGTTCCTGTCCATCCCCCCTTGGACTTGTTCAACCTAGAAATGATGGGTTTTCTTGAGGCTCTTAGAGCCTCTGGTGGAAAGCTACTAATGAAGACTTTACAAAGGTGAAAAATTATCAGTTCAAATCAATCCATAAGTTATTTCTTTTGCACTAGTGTGTTAAGCTTCACTCATCAATCAGAAAAACACAAATCGAGCTTCTCAAGACGTGGAGTGTCTGCATATTCATGTCTTCAGCCCTGCAGGATTTTCAAGTCTTGCTAAGGCCACCAAAACATTTCATAGGTAAGGCCTAGAAAGGAGGGTCCAAAAATAGGAGTGATAACGGCTCTTTAGAGTCTCTTATTTTGCGATGTGTCTCGATAATTGTGAAGTTCAGCACGAGACTTTCCCTGCCCAGAAAAGGCTGGTATTTCAGAGTGGGGGGGGAGCAGATGGAGGGGGGTCCTGTGGGAAGGGAGACGTGGGTGTCCCCGTGTTTAATTGAGAGTTGCATTGTGTTGAAAGGAGGAGGGAAGATGCCAAAGCTGAACAGCGTTCTGTTCCCTTCGTCACAAAATAACAAAAAAAAAAAAAAAAAAAAAAAAGCCCGCAACTAAGACAGAGCCGGCTCTGCAATAGATACCGCTAGAACCACAGTGCCTCTGGAATAAAGATATCTAATTTCCTGCCGCAAATCACTTACCCGATCAGAAAACACAAATAGCTGAACAGAAGGGGAAAAAATAGAGGAGGAGGACGAGGACGAGGAAGAAAGGCCCTGGAATAAAAATAACTGCGCGAAAGGGCTTGCATTCCACGCGCTGACAGGCGTCTCCTCCAAATCTGGGGCAGTTGCGTCCTCCCCCTAGCGGCCCCCCTTCTGCCCTCGGACTTTCCAGCCCCCCCCTCCCCCGCGGGATCCGTTTCAGGGACACTCTGCATCTTTGGGAGGAGGGCAGCTCCCCAGCTGCGAGGAGGGCGACGGCAGGGGAGACCTGCGACCCTCACGGCCTAGGGGCCTCTTGGGGCGGTGGAGGCAGGGCCCGCCGGCAGCGACTTCGCCTCCTCGCGCACCCCGGCACCGCTCGGCCTGGGCGGCCTCGGTTTCCCCGTCGGGAGGGAGGCGCCCCCACGTCGTGTCGCCTCCGGGCTCTCGGGGACCGGGGGAGCTGAGCCCGCTGGCGCCGATTTTTGGCGGCGGGGGGTGGG